GTGCTTTAACATTTCTTTCAATACTTGTTTGTTGGTAATAAACTCCTCTAGTTTTTTTTTCTTTTTTGTCTTGGAAGTTATTTACTGTCCCTTCAATTTTAAATGATAGTTTTTTTGGGTATGGTAGTTCTGGTTGCATGTAATTGTTTTTCATCATTTTGAATATTTCATGCCAATCCCTTCTGGCCTGAAGTATTTCTATTGAGAAACCAGCTGACAACCTTATGGGAACTCTATTATAGGTAAGTGTCTCTATAGCTGCCTTTAAGAGTCTTACTTTCTCTTTAACACTTGCCATTTTAATTATGATATGTCTTTGTGTGGGTCTCTTTGGGTTCATCTTGACTGGGACTCTCTGTGTTTTCCTAACTTGTGCGACTTTTTCATTCATAAGTTCAGGGAAGTTTTATTGAATTATTTCTTTAAACAGGTTTCTTATTCCTTGTACACTCTCTTATCCTTCTGGTACCTTCATGATGTGAATGTTGTTATGTTTCATATTGTCCCAGAGATGCTTATATTTTCCCTGTTTCTCTTTAATTCTTTTTCTTTTTCATGCTCTCCTTGGTTGGCTTGGTTATCTTGTTCTCAAATTTGTTGATTCAATCCTCTTCTTCATCTAACTTGCTGTTTATTCATTCTAATGTATTCTTAATTTGGGTATTTTTCTTCATTTCTGACTGGTTCCTTTTCATGTTTCTTATGTCCTTTTTAATGCTTACTATATCTTTGTGTAAGTTCTCACTAAGATAATTCATTCTTCTCCTAAGGTCCTTGAGCATTCTTATAACCATTATTTTAAACTTGGCATATTGTGTCTTCATTGCTTCCATTTCATTCATTTCCTTTTTTTAAAAAAATTATTTTATTATTTTTTTCAATAATTTTATTTAGTTATTTTTCAAGTTCAGTTTTTTTCCTGTTTCTCCCATCCCAGCCCCGCCATGTTCCCCACCTCCCGACCATTTCCACACCCCCCAGTTCTCATCCCTATGTCCTTCCTATTTGCTTCTTTATTTATTTATTTATTTATTTAAAATTTTATTTAGTTATTTTTCAAGTACAGTTTTTTTGTCTATTTTTCCCATCCCAGCCTCCCCTGCCCCTTGCTCCCCACCTCCCTCCCATTTCCACCCCCCCTTAGTTCTCGTCCCTGTGTCCTTCCTATTTGTTCCTCCAAATCCCTCCCCCCTTTTTCCCCTTAACTTCCCTTCCTTCTCCCCTCTGGTCACTATCCCCTTGTTCTCTATTTCAGTGTCTTTGTTTTTATTCTGCTTGCTTGTTTGTTTTGTTGTTTAACTTCCTGTTAAAGGTGAGATCATATGGTATTTGTCTTTCACCGCCTGGCTTATTTCACTCAGCATAATGCTTTCCAGTTCCATCCAAGCTGTTGCAAAGGGTAGGATTTCCTTCTTTCTCTCTGCTGCATAGAATTCCATTGTGTATATGTACTACAATTTTTTATCCATTCATTTACTGACAGGCACCTTGGTTGCTTCCGACTCTTGGCTATTGTAAATTATGCTGCTATGAACACAGTGGTGCATAGGTTCTTTGAAATTGATGTTTTAGGATTCTTAGGATATAATCCTAGCAGTGGAATTGCTGGGTCAAAAGGCAGGTGGATTTAGAAATCAAAGGCATTTTTGTATAACTAACAATGAATCAGCAGAAGCACAAATCAAGAAAAAAAATCCCATTCGGTAAAGCAAAAAGAAAAATAAAATATCTGGGAATAAACCTAACCAAGGAGGTAAAAGACCTGTATGCACTAAACTACACAGCACTGAAGAAAGAAATCAGGGAAGACACAAACAAATGGAAACACATACCTTGTTCATGAATTGGAAGAATTAACATCATCAAAATGTCCATACTACCCAAAGCGATATACAGATTCAATGCAATACCTATTAAAGTACCAATGGCATATTTCACAGACATAGAACAAACACTTCAAAAATTTATATGGAACCATAAATGACCCCGAATAGCAGCTGCACTTTTGAGAAAGAAGAACAAAGTAGGAGGGATCACAATACCTGATATCAAACTGTATTACAAGGCCACTGTAATCATTCATTTCCTTTAAATGTTTTTTTCCCCCCTGTGGATCTGTCTTTTGTTCTTTTGTTTGTGGCATTTTTCTTCCATTTTTTCCTCTGTGTATTAGGTAGATCCTCTATGACTCGCAAACTTGTTTTTATAGTTTGATAATAAAGATGTCTTTTTGGACTCGATGGCACAATCTTCCAGATCTCCTAAGCTTTGTACTCTAAGGCGGTTACCTGTGGGTTATGTGCACCCCCTGTTATAGCTGAGGCTTGAATGCTGTTGGCTTTTTTGTGGGTGGATGACTACAAGTATAAATTTCAATTTTCATGTATGAGACACTGTGCAGGAGCTGCTCCCTAAGGTGGGGTTGTTCTCAGCAATATTTGGTGCCTGCTGGAATCCTCATTTGGGGTTGTCACTTGTGTGGCTAGTTGAATCAAGTTCTTGTGTCACCTGAAGCCTACCATTAGTTCTGATTCCACTTGGATGGGGTTTAGTTACAGGTCACTGTAGGGTGTGCGTAACTGGCCTTCAGCTACCTATCTGTAACTGCCCCACTGTTCACCATTTATGTTTGTGTCTACTGGACCTACATGTGCATGTGAGAAACTAATCTGTTTTAAAGAGTTGGCTTCTCTCCACTTAGAGTTAGGGGGAGATCTGTGAGAGTACTGAAGTTCTCTGAGGTCCACCTTCATCTGGCAGCTACTCCTCCTCCCCCTGAGGTTGCCTGGGGTTTTTCCAGAGCTTTCCAAAGAGACACTGTAGGATGAGCCCAGGTTAGCTGATACATGGCTAGTGGGTTTCTTACATGGGGATCAGACAGACAGGAACTCAAAAAGGGGAAAATAACCCCTACAGCAAGGATGGACCCCTCAGTCTATGCCAGATTCTGCAACTTTAGCTTCCCCTAGGGGGGCTCTCTGTTGGTTTAGTTTGGGTACAACCAGCTGTTCCTTTTGCATAAGCAAACTCAACTGCTCTATGCTTGGGGAGACAGAACAAAAAAGTCTTCTGTTGGTGATAATGCTGGCCTAACCCTGAGGAGGAGGCTAAGCACTTTGTCCAAGTACCAGAAAGTAGCCTCCAAGAGTCTCACACTTTGAATGTCAATGTCCCTGGTCTGAGCCACTTTCCCTTCCTCCCATGAAATGCATCCAGTGGGGGAATCTTGGACTTGGCAAGGCTGATCCAAACAGTCCGCCATTGGAGGTGGTGCCTACAAGTCTGTAAGAAGGTGGTGAGCACTTCTCCTCCCCAGGACAGCATGGGCTGAGCTTGCAAGGGAGCTTGGATTTGCCTCCCCTCAATGTAGCCACTCAGCCTGGAACTTACCTATGTGGCTCTGGAAAAAAAAACCTCAGGAGACACAGTTTGAAAATCTTATTCCTTCAGAGCTACCCTGCATCACAGAACTAAATAGGATGGGGCAAGCCAAGTGGCTCAACAGTTGGGGGAAGAGGCACTGCCTGTACACTGGAGATGGGGGAGGTTGGTCATCTATTCTAAACCACACAGTTTAGTTGCTGTCTCCATCTCCACTATAAACTTCCCCAGAAAATAGAGGGGCCTTGAGTCAGGACCTGATTATGGCAGCATGGCCCTACCAGCACTTGGGAGTCTAGGCCATGAACTTCTCAAGCTGCTACTGTGCTCATTCCTGGGAGGGTTTGGTCTGAGTTTCCAAACTCTAGCAAGAACAAACTTAGAAGTTGCGACCTGGAGAATAGTAATTTTGCATGCTTGGGTCTTGCCCTTTATTTTTCTAGCTTTTGGCAGGCTTACTGTAAAAACCTCCTCCTGGGCCCTCTGTGGTACTCCCTGACCATCTACAGTATCAGGGTCAGTTGAGAGCAGGGGTGGCCACAGGACCTGCCATCAGAAGGCCTGGAGATGCCATAGCCTTCAGCTTGTATCCCAGTGCTGGACATTGTGCCCACATGTCTGGGACAGCTGGTTGGAAACTGTGGACCACCCCTGGATCTCAGTAGGCTCACGTCCTCTACACAGCTTCTACTCACTCCTCGCTTATGAAAATAACTTCTGTGTATCATTTTTAAAAGTAAACCAACTGTCCAGGTTTACAATCTCTATATGTAACCTGCAGAAAGCAGTGTGTTGGAGGTAGCAACGAGTAACTGCAATTATGATGTCACATGATAGATATGTGCTCACATAATTAAGCACCAGCAAATTCTGCTCAGAACCATCAAGCCCTTACTTTATCTTTACCTTACTTTGTCCTCAGAACCAACAAACTCTTACATTTCTAGGTGTTGGCAGAAAACACATCTTTTCTGGGGTCCCTGGTCACCAATTACTCCATGTTATCTAATATTTTTGAGATATAGTTTCCTGCTCTATAAAAAGAGAATATAGCCACATTTCTCAACAGATACTGTGATCAAAATAGATGTTTATGAAGCACCGTAGGCTCATAAGGTGATGTGGTAAATGTTGCAAATTTTGCTGCATACTAAAGAAATATATTTAACTCTATCAGGACTTCCTCAAATTTCCAATGAACATGGCATCATATCTTGTACAGAATGAATTGTCTAAGTTAGCTAGGTTACCATAATTTTTCTCTTCTTTGTTCAGCCAACTTCCAGGAAGTAGGTATATTCAGTACAAAATGACTGGAGCTTATTCTTTGGTAAGGTGAACTGAAATGCAGTGAGAATGAATCGGAGACCAGAGATCAATTACCAAGCCCCTTACCACTCTAACAAGGCTGATGTGAAATGGAAGAGGCTGGAAAGAGTGAAGTAGCTTCTGTCTTTCCCATTGTCCTCGCCATAATATCGATCTGATTTCTAGAGTAAGAGCAAAGCTTTCATATTGTTTCCCTTTGTGAATTTTTAAGTGGCATAATCTTTGACACTGAAAAAGAACCAAGCACCCCCACACAAGTGCATACAATCCAGATGGAGCTAATGATGTGATCACTGACCTTTATAGCAGTCTTGCCACACTCACAAATAAACTTTTGGTATCTCACTACAATTTACATAATACTGCAGGCATTTTGCCTTCATGAAGACGTCAGTCTGGGCTTGCTGAATGTTGTCACCATTGTCACAAAGCACATGGCCCAGTGACGCCAATTTCAGCTAAGTTGTGATGGGGTAAACACTCCAGGGTTTTCACGCCAGAATCTGGTGGTCAAGAAAAACAGTAGTGGTTTGATGAGTCTGAAGTTTAAGCACTGATCGTATGTGCCAAGAAATTATAACAAGCATAGAAAAGCAGAAGCAGACAGAAAGGGCACATACGGTCAGCGCCCTCTCTGTGTTTGCTCTCCCACTAAGGATACTTTAAAATGGTTTCAATATTTACCAAATTATGACATCCCCATTCTTTTAACTGTCACTGACTACTGAGGTTTTAAAATAATGATTCAAAGTAAAGTTCTTTAAATCTTTTTAAGCATATCTAAACTAAAAGTCCACGATTGAACATTGTCGAGCAACTTAATATCAGTGTGCTTAAAAATATTGCTTTTAATTATTAATATATACCAAGTGATTTTATCTACTGACTAATTAGAATAAACATGTTCCAATTTAAATGAAAAATACAACTTAAAAACATTGTTAGAGTGGCCTTGTGTTCTTTCTTTCAAGACATATTTAAATACCATATGCTGAGCACTTTCCTTATACAGGGTGTAAAATAATAAATTAAGATAGAAAGCAAAAAATTGCTGCCATTTAGGGCATTATGGGTTGATTTTGTCCCCCAAAGTTCATATGTTGTAATCTTAACCTCCAGCATTTCAAAATGTGACTATATTTGGAGATAAGGTTTTTAAAGAGTCAGTTAAATACAGATGAGATCATGAGAAGGTTTTGATCCAATATGACCAGTGTCCTTATAAGAAAAGGAAGTGTGGACACGGAAAGGTGCAGAGGGTACAAGCTAAGATGAAGAGTGAAGATGGACATCTACAAGCCAAGGAGAAGATAGGAACCAATCCTCCCAACACATTAATCTCAAATTTCTAGACTCCAGAACTGTGAAACAATAAATTTTTGCTACAAGTCTGTGATACCTTGTTATGGCAGCCTTAGAAACTAATACACACGGAGGCAACTGACTCAGAAAAACAATGCTTTCCTAATTTTTAAAATTTTGAACTATGTATATTTTAAGACATTACTAATTAAATATATTAGCCCAATTATGTATTCAATAAATCCAATTGTTAAAAATAATTTATAAACATTTATTTCATGAAATATATAATTGTTTGCAAATGTGCAGTTGAGCAAATTAAATCTTTTACTATTTTATAATATAATTCATAAAGAAGAAATTCCATAATGGAAAAGATTTTGGAGAAAAAAATAAGTAAACAATAACTTTTAACATAACTAATTAAAAACTATATTCTATACAGTATTTTAAATTCTCTACATATCATCTCTTTGATATTACAGAAGTTTGAATTGCCAGTTTCACAAGAATACTAGCTGTTACTCAAGACTATACATTACTAATGATTTGGAAGATAAAACACCCCAGAACACATTTGGTCCAAGTGATAGAAGGAAACTAACAGTGGGGGATGACCAACTTGGGGGATGAAGGAGGCTGCTTAGTTTTGAGTTTTCTTTTTTTTTTTTTATACTTGGTTAGTCTTGCAACAGAAAAGAGATTACGTGACCAACTTATATTCTCCTGCCAGCCGTGTACCATAATTCCATAAATTCAAGGTTACTTACAGCAAGCATTTGGATAAACCAAGAGATTTTTTTTAGAATTCCTGGTTATCTTTCCACTACTAAGTAAATGCTCACAGCACATGGTTTTCAAGGAGGTTTGGTCTCAGGTCAATAAGTCTTCAGTAAGGATATAGGGAAGGAGTCTCAGGCTTGGTGTCAACTTCTGCACTCCTAACATCATTTACAGTGGCCACAGTCTATGAAATCTATGCACCTTTGTTATATAAACTTTACAGATGAGGAAACAAGTTTAGAGTGATATGCTTCCCAAAGTTAAACAGCTGTCAGTAGTGGTGCCCAGATTCAAATACATGGTAATAAATGTAATGTATCCTCTCAACCACTGAATTCTACTGTCTTCTACTACCTTCCTAGATAGTTAATTTCTCTTTTCCTTACAAGGAATTACAGGAACTTACAAAAATAAATGCTATCTGGTATTATCAATGATCACCAAAACTCTGTGACCAGATGCTATGTTATTTCTTGTATTCAATATGCTTTAATGTATAATATTATAATTACATATAAGAGAAAATAAAACAATTGATAAGTATAACAGATAATCATTTACCTATTTCCTTCTCTTAGCCACTGAAACTGGGTCACAAACAAGCACGTAAGTGTTGGAGCCACTCTTGTACCAGGGACCAGTTCTTCAACCATGAGGGCCAGGCAGAAGTCAGCATTGCCTGGAGCCTCACACAGCCTGACAAAGACAGGCAAATATGGCATTATTGATACAGATGACAACTAAGCATTATTTATTTTGTACACACAGAAAGGAAAAGCAGATATTATTATTCATTTCACTGTACAGGTGAAAGTACTGAGATGATGGAAGCATTTGGTGTTACTTAGCTGGCAGGGAGCAGATCAGTGACCTAACCAATAATATTTGATACCAAAAAACATATGATGCACACTGTGTTATTCTTTACAATTATTTTATAAGTATGTGTAATATACCTAAATATATTTGTATATTTGTATGTGCATATATATACATTTACAAATAAAATCTACAAATAAATCTTTCAGAAGCATGTAGAAAATAAACTAATTAAGCATTCAAAATTTCTGTGACATTGTATATGATTGGCATTTTTTTAAAAGTGAAAATATAATTTGTGGAAATAATATAATGTGTTAGATAAATGTTCTATTGCTGAAAAGACCATGATCATTTGATCTGGAATTAATAACAGTTTTTTTAAAGTTAAAAAAATTGTAATTCAAATGACAACTTAGCTAAACAGCTTTGGACACACCACCTACATCAAGAAAGAAAATATAACCAGTACCTGTGGGACCTGATTTCATTGTTTTTTCCCCCTCTACCCTTAAGAATAAACATGAGAAAATTTAACATGTCTTTTACTATAATTCATCATGCCATTTCATGTGTATGATACTATAAAATACATATAGTTTAGCTTTGTATGTGTTAACCTCGACACGGATGGAAATGATCATACTTTTCACATTTTACTCCACAGTTTATTTGAAGATTCAATCATATTGTTGCACACTTATGTATCTAGTTTATTTTCTCTGCTGTATAGTAGTTCATTGTTGGGTATTGATCCCTAATTTAGTTTTATATTTTAGTGTTGATGAACAGCTGGGATGTTTTTAGCTTTTATTATATATAATAAATGAGCATTCTCATACATATTTCTGGATATGTACAAATGTCTCTCTAGGCTAAGTATCAGCATGTTTTTTATTGTATAAGACCAGATTTAAATCACATATTGCATGCTCAAATCTTTCATTTTGTGCAAAAGTAGTCATGGCAGATGCATAAATTAATAAACACAGTTTGGTTCCAATAAAATGTTCTTTATAAAATCAGGCAGTGAACCTAACTTGACCAATAGGCTGTGGTTTGGGGATCCTTGCTCAAAACAGGCCAATGCTAGAGCTACAGATTCTGAATGTAGAGCATGACATCTTTAACTTTAATACATAATAAATGTCAAATGTTGTTGAAATATATGTACATTTCAAATTCTCATAATAAATATATAGAAGTTCTCTATAATGTAGTTCCTAGCCAAGTAATTTCTCATCCCTTGGCATATTGTAACTTTTTCTTATTCATCAGTTTCTTCTTTTTTTTTTTTAGTTCAGTCAATTCTTATTGCTACTGCCCTCATTCTTCTCCTCTTCTTTTCCCCCTCCTTCACGTCTCCCCTTACCCTCCTGCTTCTCTTACTGCATTTCTTTTCTAAATATCTGAAATAGCTGGGCTTTTTATATCTCCAAGTACTTGTCTCGGTATTTGAGTGCTTGTTTATTTGAGATTTGAGTGTTGTATAATAGTTTCCTTCTGTTTCAAATTTTGTTTTTCCCTGGGAGAATTTTCCCCGGAAATGTTTTGACTTGCATTTATGTTTTCTTGTCATACAGTTTTATTGGAAATAAGTACCCTTCCTCTCCTTGTCCTTTATTTCTAGGCATTTCATGAAATGAGTTCCTAGCTCAGTAGCACACTTGTCACTGCAGTGAAGCACAACGGCTTTGATTGCCATATTGGTGGTGACGGGAAAGAAAAGACATCAATTTGTTTTATTTCTTTTGGTGTCTATAGCATTTTAACTTCACTTTATTGTACTTTCACTTCACTGTCAACTCTGAAGGGGGAACTATCCCTTATGTTCTTATTTCCTACATTCCTTAAAACAATGCTATCACTGAGAAAGATAATGAAACTTCTTTCTTTAACTCCTGACTTCCAGATGTACATTTGTAAATTTAGTACTCCGTGTTGAACTATTTCTTTCCAGAGAGATTTTTGTTTGTCTTGTAGCTCTTCTGTGACCCTACTCTATTTTCCTTTGCTGAGAATTTTTAATTCCCTATCCTGCTCTCCACACTCACAGACTTGCAGTAGAAGTAGAATTTCAAATAGCAACTTTGTTGGAATTTGGTAATTATTTTCAAATTTACAATATTTTGAACTCATGTCATTATCTCTATCCTACTAATTCTGAATATATGAGTCATGTGTTATTTGATGTATCCTCTATTGTCCTCTTACAGTGTGTAAGAGGCAGTGTTGAGGCAGTATTTAGAATCTCATAAACATTGTTTTCCTAGGGCTAACTAGAAAATATGTCTGCTTTTAAAGTTTTGTGTTGCTCTGACTGGTGTAGCTTAGTGGATGGGGCATTGTTCTACAAACTGAAAGGTCACCAGTTCAATTCTCAGTAAGGACACGCACCTAGGTTGTGGGCCAGGTCCCTGGTTGGGGGTGTGCTAGAGGCCTCTGATTGATGTTTCTCTCTCAAATTGATGTTTCTCTGTCTTTCTTTCTCCCTCCTGTCCCCTTCCTCTAAAAATAAATTAAAAAACTCTTTTAAAAATGTATGTTAATTTGATGGGTCTGAAATGCTGTTTCACTATGGTTTGGGATTTTCCCGATTAATTATGAAGTTGAGCATCTTCTATGCATGGTTTGAGCACTTAGTTTTTTTTTCATACATAAGATGCCTATTTATATCTTTCACTCATTTTGCCATTGGGTTAAGTTATTTTTTTTCTTTAGGACTGCTATATATATATTCTGGATGCTGCTATTTAGTTACTATGTTCAAATGTGTTCCTTCTAGTGTGTGACTTATTAACACTTTTATTATTTTTTACTTTGATGAAGATATTTTCTCAATTTTAAGGTCAGTTTTGTCAACTTTATAGTTAGTATGTTTTAATCTTTATTAAAAACTTTTTCCTCTAATGTAATAAATATACTTTTCTCTATGTTTTATAAATTTTTAAAATTCTGCCTCTTAAATATAAGTCCATCTGTTTGGAATTTATTTTAAATATGATGTGAGATAAAAACGCACACTCACTTTATCTATGGATAGTCAATGGTTAATGCATCACTTACTGAATATGTTCTTATTTCTCACTAATTTCCTTGCAGTTCTTTCAAATACAAAGCTTCCATATTTGAGCACATTTTTGTGCCTCTGTACTCTATTTTATCACTCTGTTTGTCGTTCTTGAGTCAATGTTTCACTGTCTTGATCACTAAAAGCTTTATAATGGGTCTTGCTAACTGGAACAACATATCACTCCACTAGATTCTTCTTGGCCACTCTCTCCAAGTTAATTTTAAAACCTGTTTCTTGGTGCCATAACAAATACTTATTAAGATCGTAATTGAAATTGCAGCAAATATATCATTTTCGGGGAGCTGTCACAAACATGCACTGCTGCATTTGTCAAATTTGGTAATTTTCTTGCCATGATGTTACCATTATTCTTTTCTCATCTGCTGATTTGTAATGTAATGTAATTTTGATTGCATTTTTGAAGGTATCATTAAATTAATTTCTTAGAATAAGTAAGAAAGCTATTTTGCATTCTAAATGGTTAACATTAAATTACACAGAAATAATTTGAGAAGTAATGGTTAATGGTGATCAGAAAGTTAAATAAAGTGAAATTATTTTCTATAAATTGTAAGCATTAAGAAAAGCAATGGTAGTTTAAGATCAGAGATTAGAACATTGAACCTTCCCAGATAATGCAATCTTGGTTTTGTCAATTTTAATTTTTTGATAATGATCTATTTCTCATCTCTTAACCAATTCAATTAAGCATTAACCATTCCTAGCTCTACTGTTACTTATTGTTTTTACTATTGCTCACCACATAGCTCCAAAAATGTGAGAACTTTTTAAATATTACTTAGTACAATTATCATTATCAAACATTTTTAATTGGGTATAGCTTATGTTTGAAACAATATGATTTAAATTTGAAATAATAACATTAATGAGCTACAATTTCCTTACAGGGAAGTGTGAGATCAATAAATTTGCAAAGCATTCCTTATTGATTTATTTGCATCACTCAGGAGAATTTCAACTCTATTGTTTTTTACATTTTTTATTGCAGACATTATATTTCTTCTTCTTTGGGCATAATTAGTCCTTAGTAGGTATATAAAGCAGCTTCTGTACTAATACTTTGGGTATGTCATTTCACTTCTCACATTTCCTCTCCAAATCTAATAGTAAATAACACTTATTCCATGATTAAAAATAGTAACCCAATGTAAAGGTGATCTGGTCCTGACTATAAAGTATGTAAACTAGGATGGCCTCTTATGGGCACTGCTCCAGAGAATAACAGTGACAGTGCACATCAGCCTCTTGGCTGTTAAGTTGTGGAGCAAACTTTAAGGCTCCCAGTGCCTTTGAACATAACCCAGCTCTAAATATGTACAGCGTTAAAGAGCACTGCCCAGAACAAGTGTGAACACTGTCCTCATAAAGTCTCCTGTCTTTGATAATATAATGTAGAACTGTGTTTAAATTTAGTTTCGAAACTCTTCTATTGATGCAAAACCAATATAAACATGGAATAATAAGAGTAAACAAGATGTAGCTGTTTAAAAATGGTAGCTTTATTGCTGTTTAGATGTATGAAGACTTGAAAGAAAATATTTGCAGACCAAGAAATGAGCTATTACATACCACAAAGACTACTGTGTCAATCTGTATCTAATTTCACAAAGAGAGTTTGATTTAAAATCTGTTTTAGAAAAATGGATAATATTAAAAAAATTTCAGTCAACTGGATCATTCAGAGAGACATGAGGGTAGATCTTGTAGATTTTTTTAAGGTTATACAAGCTCATCTGATTCAGAGACTAAAAGATAATGTTGCAACATATGATA